GGTTTCGGTCAGTTTTACCTACTATTGGATTTGAACCAATGACTCTCGCCGTATGAAAGCGATACTCTAACCGCTGAGTCAAGCAGGTCAAGCTGAGTTAAGTCAGAGAAAATAGACCCCCATAAGAGAAAGCGTTATCACTAACACTTCCTATAATTTCACACAATCATCAGACAAGTCACAACTCATCACATTCAGACATGTGCTATAATGTAGAAACAATTAGGTCAGAAATAATTAGTTAAAAATTTTCACGAGCAAGTCACGTCCAGTGAAAATCACAGATGGTCCAAATATGCATAGATAGTTATAGATGGTCACAACATCAAAAACAAAGTAGAAGTATATAACTAATTATATAGTCTAAAAGAACATGTCAAAACATGAAATGAAAACTAAATACGATCATAGACAGCACAATATAAACTTTCTCATATGTCATAATCAATATCATGTTTGACAACTCATAAATCGTAAAGTCACAATAAAAGAATTTGAAACCATAATCCAAAAAGACATAGGTGACAAATTAACAATTAAATGGAGGTGAAACTACAAAGAGTATTGTCATATCTAACATATTATAATAAGCTATGTGAAATGATTTGGTTGTTTCTTTGCTTTCAATTTTTGATGGATTTAGTTAAGTGGCACCGGGTTCTTGCAAGTTCTACGATTGTAACTAGATTCACCACATCTTCCACATTTCACAATTTATGATCTCTCACGCACTGACTCCTTCCTCGTCTCAATAGGACACCCAGAACTTCTTTTTTTATTTGGACCAAGCACTGTTATGTTCTTTACGTCTTCAGGTAAAATCCATTCCACTCTATTACCTACGTGCATAACCGTTTCTTTGTACGTATTCACATATGCATCCGTTGTATAATCATTCGAGCATAAATTATACACATAAAGCTTCAATGTTGCAAACACTGATAGTGCATGTAGACACGAAAGTTGATCCACTTGAAATATTTTACAACTGCATGTGCATTGAGTTATATCAATCATATATGATGAAAAATCATCTCACACTTCAAACAAATTGTGACTTGCAGGGAAAACCTGAAATTAAAAAAAAAAAAACCAGTTAGTATTGTGAATTTAAGAGAGCTATAATTATAAATGTGACCCTCATAATTCTATGTGTTGAGCATTGTAATTACTTTCAGATTTTGTACATCATGGCTCATTTCCCTCAATAGTTTTTCGTATTTGGTTGCAAACTTTGTGAAAGTGCTATGTGCATTGTCCCTATTCTTGCAAAATTAAGATTGGGCCATTTTTCTTAATGACTCAAGAAGTGCTTCAATAGGGTAATTTTTAACCGCCTTTGTGACTGCATTTACAAATTCAATTATGCTCGAAGTCGTGGTAAAGTATCGATTTGTTGGCACGTGTAATCTGGACCATCTTTCAGATCCAACGTCCAACTACAAAATAAATTTAGTTCATTCATATTTTAATAAAATAATGTAACATGTCATAATAAATGAAATACAGTTTATGCATTAAACAGGCATGTCATAGATAGTCACACTACATAATATTATGGAACAAGTCATAGGCAATCACAGTATAAGTTATAGATAGTCACATACCAGATATCCTCTGATCTCTTTATTGACCGAGTCCAATTGTTGCATTTGATATTCAAATTCAACCATTGTAGAAGCTCGTACGGTAGCATTGAATGCATGTGTGACATCGTGACCTGATTTTGCGTAATGAGTCTTCAAATTTTTAAGTAAATGGTACGAACAAATCCCATGAATTGCCTCTAGATATACTAATTCAATGGCATTTCTTATGCGGTTGTGTCTATTTGATATTATACATAACCCGTTTCTCAATCCATATGCTCTCTTCAACATTTCAAGAAACCATCTCCATGACTCTTCATTTTCATTGTCCCCAATCTCAAAAGCTAGTATGAAAATGTTGTTATTTGCATCTTGTGTACAAGCTATGAAAAGTGTACCCTTATACTGACCATTTAAATATGTGCCATTAACTACAATGACTGGCCTACAATATTTTCAACTGGCAATCGATGCACCCAAAGCTTTAAAACA